GCACCACCCTGCACAAGAAGAGCTCGGAAGCGCAGCTGTATTAACAACAACCTTTGGCAAGGTGCATCCATCAGATTAAATCCATTATGGAAACAAGCAAATGATGCTTTGTTGAGGTGGTATCAGTACTGTTAGAGTCATAAAAGAAATCTAGTGTAATGATATTGGCCCCACTATATGCAGATGATAGTTAATTTCTTCTACAGGATAACATGCCATTCAGAACCATTTCCCTAAATTAGATATACCACAGAGCTAGAGTTTCAATCCATCACTAAGGCTATTTCTACTGAAATTTTAATAAAAGCTGCTATCACTCATGCTAATTATCTTCTTATGCTACCTGATTTTTTTCTAGTAACTTACAACTCAAAGACCTGAAGAGCTTCTATTAACAGTGAAGAACAATATTACCTTCTGAAAAATAGAATTTGAGACCAATTATTACTCAGAGCTGATTTTTTTTTTTTTCTTTGAAACTAGTAACAGTTCAGACAGCTATAAAATGAAATGCAGATCCATGCTTTTCCCTGTTCACTTCATAAAAGTGGCAGTCATGCAGCAGATTTTGAAAATTAAAGAAACAGGATTAGAAAACACAAAATTGACACATGGCCTTTAGGGATACAGAATACTTACAGTTATAATTAATTTTTTAGTGTGACCAGATTTAAAAACTGACTGTGGAATTCTGGAAGCTGCTTCTCATTTTCTCTGTTCAAATATAGCAATTCTAGTCACAAATGAAAGAAGACTTAGCATTCAGTCCAAAATGAAAACCACTTCAACACATTAAAGCGTGTATCTATAAAACAGCTTAGCAAGAAGTTACAATTTAACAAAGGTGTAATGCAGCCCTGACCCAACCACAACAAAGCAGACTATTCTTCTACCATAACACCATCCAGCATGAGGGAGGCTTCCACATCTCTACTGACGACACAAGTATGACCTTGGAGAGTGTCCTCTGCTTGTTAGACTACACTGAGCTTAGAGCATTCACAGCAGCCATTTCCCCAGTTCTTCTAGTCACCAGCAATGCTCTCCCAAGTGAGAAGTCACATTAATGAAACTCAGAATGCCCAGCAAGATGCAGAGTTAACACTCATATTTGTACATCAGTACTGATAAGCATTCAAGTAAGTTCTGCACAGGAACAGGCAAGATGTGTTCCTCCTAGGCAAGTCAGTTCTAGAAGAGATTTAGTATTAAACTCTATTACCTGAAGAACCAGGAATAGGCTTCGTTTCAAGATTAACACAATCAAAATAAAGAGCTACTGAGACAAAGAAAATACATGCACAAATTCCAAATATATAATTTACAACACAGTATTTTAAAACCACGGTATAAGAATTGTTTAATCTTATTAATTTATTTGTAATATGAAATATCTTTACAGAGTTGAATGCTTTCCTCACAAATACAAGTCACACCTACCCACTTTCATGATTTCCCCAACAGGTCTGAATTCATTTTCAGTCAAAACTGTAAGCAAATACAAGCTATAAAGGCAGCAGCAAAACATCAGAATGCTATGTCATGAGAAAGAAAAGTAATGTTAAAAATTAATTGAGGCTGCAGTTCAATGCAACAAGGCAAAGTATTAATACATGCAGTAAATGCAAGAAAAATTTAAATCCTACAGAGCAGATGCAATACCTGCCCTAGCACTTGTACTAAATGCCAGCTCCTTATCTTTTGCTCTAGACATTCTTTCTTCCATTGCAGGAATTACCCTTTCCAAGAGTGACCTCTTAGACATCTTTACATGGTATGTGTGTGAGTAACCGAATTCTGCTTACAAAAGCTTTTTTTTTAATTATTAAAAAAAGAGGTTTAAATAATAAAACATATTTATATTTTATAGTACCTTAAAACAACAGCAAAATTAAGTGAATTTTAAATTTCTAATGAATATTGCATTCTTTTAAAAACTAAATAATTCAGCATTTTCACAAGCTAAAATTTATTTTTTCTATTTTATGCTGCAATTGAATGACCTATAATTTATTATTCCAGCATCATGCAGCTTTTTTTTTTTTTTTTTTTTTCCTAAGAATCACTCCTTTTCCAAAATTTTAAAGAGTTATCCAAAAGGGCATTCAGCAACCTATTGCTGATGGTGCAGGGGAAGCTATCACGCATTCATTTTGTAATTCCAGATGCTAAGTTAATTAAAGAAATAACTATATGTACATGGGTACATACAAGTTATCATATATTTCCTGCAACTAATATGAAGATACAGCTGGGAGATGAATTTAATGAGGTCCATGTTCTCTTAGAAACTTAGCTGATACTACAGCATGTCTAAATTACTCCCCTAACAGCTGAGAAGTAAAATGAGCAATGCTCTTTCCTCTCCACTCCGGGTAGGTCAATTCTTATGTGGGCACTGCTGCCACCTCGTGACCAATCAGCTGTACTTTGCATTTTGCTGATACTGCACTGCTCAGTAAGCTACCTCTCCTAAAAGAAGCTGTTTTTCAGCTTTCTATTCCAACTGCTTATAGCTGAAACATCACCACTGATTTCTCCAGTTGCCTCCACCTAAAGCAAGAACTAGAAGGAACTCAAAGGACTCAGATCCTGCTGACAGCCTCTTTCTAGCAAGGACACATATATTCACAATATTCACAAATGCAAGAGATATTCACAAATGCAAGAGAAAGAAGTGCCAGTTCAGTACACTGCTAAGTAAGCAAAAATCCTACAATATCCCTAAAATTTGTGTACCAGCAAAGGCTGCAATAGTTCACAGAGTCACAGAATTGCTCAGGTTGGAAAAGAACTTCAAGATCATCAAGTTCAACCACAACCAAACCATACTACCCTAACAGCCCACCACTAAATTATGTCCCTGAGCACCACATCCGAACAGTTTTTGAACACATTCAGGGATGGTGACTCAAACACCTCCCTAGGGAGTCTATTCCAGTGCTTAACAACCCTTTCTGTAAAAAAGTCTTTTCTGATATTCAACCTATCTTCCCTTGGCACAACTTGAGGCGATTTCCCCTCATCCTGTCACCTGTTACCAGTGAGAAGAGACCAACCCTGCTCTTGCTGTAAGCACCTTTCAGATATTGGAAAAGAGCCAATAAGGTCTCTCCTAGCCTTAGCCTACTTGTCCCCAGACTAAACAGTCTCAGTTTCTTCAGTCACTCCTCATAGGGAATATTCTCCACGCTCTTCACAAGCCTTGTTGCCCTTTTTTGGACTTGCACCAGCACCTCAGTGCCCTTTCTGTATTGAGGTGCCCAAAACTGAACATGGTACTCGAGGTGAGGCCTCACCAGTGCCAAGTACAGGTGCAGGATCACTTCCCTAGTCCTGCTCACCACAGCATTCCTGATACAAGCCAGGATGCCATTGGCCTTCTTAGCCACCTGGGCACACTGCTGGCTCATATTCAGCTGACTGTCCATCAGTACACCAAGCTGTCAGGCAGCTTTCCAGCCTCTCCTCTCCAGGCCAGTAGGGTTGCCTGTGGTTATTGTGACCAAAATGCAGGACCCAACACTTGGCCCTATTGAAACTCATATGGTTTGCCTTGGCCCATCGATCCAGTCTACGAGGTCCCCCTCTGTAGTGCCTTACTAGCCTCCAGCAGATCAAGGTATCATCTGCTTACCTTGAGTTCACTCAATCCCCTCATGGAGATCACTGATAAAGAGGTTAAATAGGGGTGGCCCCAGTACCAAGCCCTGGGGGACATCACTAGTGACTGGCCATCAACTGGATTTAACTCCACTGACCACAACTCTTTGGTCCCAGCCATCCAGCCAGTATTTCACCCAGCAAATTGTTCACCCATCCAAACCCTGGGCAGCCAGCTTCTCCATGAGGATGCTGCGGGGGACAGCATCAAAGGCTTTACTGAAATCCAGATAGACCACATTGACAGCCTTACCTTCATCCATGAAGGAGGTCATTTTGTCACAGAATGAAATCAAGTTTGTCAAGAAGGATCTACCATTCATGAACCCATGCTGACTGGGCCTGATGTCCTGGTTGACTTTTAACTGATCCATGGTAGATCTTGAGATTATCTGTCCCATAACCTTCTCTGACACCAATGTGAGACTGATAGGTTTGTAGCTACCATGATCATTTTTCCAGCCCTTTTTGAAGATGCATCACATTTATCAGTTCCTTTCTGAAAATATTCTCCATAAAACGTCTTCTTAAAAAGACTGCTTTTTGAAAGATGGACAGAGAACACTGTCCTGTTATCTGCAGAAGTTTTAGCAATTTCAGCAGTGTCCTCATGCTGGAGCAATACTGTCTAACTAGTGTTAAGTATAATTTCTGACAGATTATAAATAGAAGTTAAAATTCTTTCCTGTTTATTAGCTCTTATGAACAGCTGCTGCCTTCAATACTTAAGTTTTAAAATACTTACCTGTTCAGAATTTTTTAATTCTGTTGCACCTTACCTGGTAAACTCATTTACACAAGTACCAAAGGTGCAACAAAAATATCAACATATGTCATAGCTGTGCATTTAACTCAGACTCTGGAGTAAGGCTTCACAGGTCCAAGTAACTCAAGAAATCTCTTGTCAAGTTTGACTCTGACTTCCATATATTTGAATGCAACATTTAAAATAATACAGAGAAAAAGGTAATCCCCAATAAATACTATTTACATATCTTCATTCTTTCTTTAGATAATGAAATAAACACACGTTCTGCAGTTTATGAACCAACATGGGCATTGTTCTGTCTCTTCCCAGCTGCATAATCATGTCACCTGTATATTTCTAAAAGTGAGTGGGGAAAAAAGACGATTTGGGTGATATATATTTTGACAACTCTCATGAGGAAGTCTAAACAACACAAAGCTTACTGGAGAACAATAAACTGCAGAAACTATTCATCAACAGAATCTATGAAGGAGTGCATAAAAAAACAGCTTAGTCAACTAAAATCTAAGGCAATTATACAGTCCCCACCTTCATTTGCAATCCAGTCAAGAGAGATGAAAACACTCACCTTTTTTGCTCTTTGTGCTATATTAGGCGTTCTAGTGAGAAGCTTTTCAATCAGGTATTCTCTGTTCTGCAAAAATCAACATTCGGTAAGTTAAAAAAAATCAATACAGGGGGAAAAAAATCATGTAGATTTTAAGGCAGAGCAAAATTTACTTGTAGGGTTAAACGTTTTACCTTGGCTTTCTGGAAAAATTTGCATTTTAAAAGTTCTGCTGCTGTGGGCCTGAAAGATCAATAATATATTAGAACAGGAAACAAAGATCCCTCTCAGTGAATACAGTACAGGGCGTTAGTTAAATCGTATGTCTCTAATACTTTTGAATTAGTACTGTATGAATGGAGAAATGAATGGCAATAGCTACTAAACTAATTCACACATACTTACTTACCATACATGAAAAAATTAAGTTTCCCTATGGCAAAGATACCAAAAAAAAAAAATATATCAGTACCTAAGTTGCCAACGTTTGCCTTTTTTCTTTTAACAGAAATGCATTATACCCTTAAAACAAACAAGCAAGCAAATAATAAAAAAAAAAAAAGTCAGGCAACGTGCTTCCTGAAGTGACTCAAATGTAACTAAACTTTGCTCCAGAGCAATGAAAGGGTGATTGTATTTTTAAAGATAGTAGCATCAATACCTGTTAATTGAATTCTTTTATTTCAGTGATGCAAACAGGTATTAACTGTACTGACACTATTAACATGCTGCATAAACTAGAAAGTTATCAGGAGCATTTTAGAACTAAACAAACATCAAATCAACTGTTGTATGGTCAAAACCTAGACGTTTTAACTTCACTTGCAGTTCTGTTCTATCTTTTGGTTTGAAACTAGATGATCTTTCAGATCCTTTTCAACCCAGGGCATTCTATGATTCTTCTGATCGTGTTCAAGTTTATATTTTTGACATTTCCAACAGACTTTCAGAATCTTTCAGCTACTGAAATGATGATCCCAATAAAAGGTTTTACTGCCCTCTAGCCTCATGGATCTAAAGCTACATACCCAGACAAAACCTTAATATGGTGCTGAAAAAGACCATGGAGAGGAAAAAAAAAAAAAAAAAAAAACCTAAAAGCCACCAGTTTACTCATTCATTTTTTTGGGTGTTTTTTTTTTTGCTTTTTCGTTTGGGTTTTTGTGTGGGGGGGTTTTGTTTTTGTTTTTAATACTACTAGGAACACAGAACCTTACTAATTTTGGGGTGTGGCTACACTTAGGGAAGCTGGAGTCTCCAAGATTCATAATTTCTGAACAAACAGAAGCAATATTAGCTAGCTTTTCATTTGAACTACAGCAAGACAGTGGATACAAATCAGATTAGATAAGAAAGGAGAAAACTTTCTTACAGAACGTTCTGACAAGGAAGAAAAATCTGAACTGCTATATTTCTTTGAGGTCACATCTGATAAGGTAGTGAAGAAAACAGGAATAGTACACAGAACTGTTCACTCCTGCTAGAAATAGTGAAACTACTTGAATCATCAACAATAAGCATCCTGTGTAGTCAATTACAGTAGTTCCACGAGAACTTGTTTTGCTTCCACTCCAAAGGAACTGACTCTAAAATAAAGGAGTTCTTATTAGTGACAATGTGTTGACCACCATCCTTAGTTGTATTCCACATATAACCCTTAGACGGATAAAATGAAGGGGAGCCTTTTAAGAACCAATTTCTATGTCAAATTTTGAAAGTTCTGCCTCAAATCAACTTCAAACTTTAGGGTAAGTTTTAGTGATCCAGCACCATCATATCTCATTAAAAGGAATACCTGCAGTTAAAAACTAGATTCTTGGTAAAGTCTTATCCGAACTTATGTCCTCCATTGCTTCATCATTCCTTATGCAAAACACTTCTGAACAGGTCTGAAAGTACCTTCTTGGCTTGTTACCCACACTGGTTTAAGCAGTGAATTATAGCCAGAGACTGTAACCAACATTCTTTGCACTGAAGAGAAAAATTTTCATGCACAGATGCCCAAAAGAAACATCACTGTCTGAGAGATAATGCAATGCTAGGCATCTAATTTAACAGAACGAGCAAGTACATCTTCCACAACCGACGTTACTACTGAAGCATCTCTATGCCAAATTAACTCCACACTACAAAGAAACAAAAAATAGCAACAACTGTATAGCACAAGAATGCTCACTGCCACATTAAGAACAACTGGCACGTAGATCTCATCACCTATATGTGATGCTAACTGTTCCATTCAGATCAAACTTGAGTATGAAAATACTACATTCATGAGAACACTCATGTTTGAACACTGATGTCAGATAACTCTGGGCATTCCTCTGCAAGGAAAAAAAGTCATTTTTAATTGTTTATGTTTTCATACCAATTTAATCTTTCTCTGAAAATTACCGGACACTGGAAACTTAAAAGAAACTTCACAGAAGAGAATCACAGAATTATTTGGGTATCATGGGTTTAAGGATCATCTGTTCCAATCCCACTGCCATATGCAGAGATGCTTTCCGCTAGGTCAGGTTGCATATGACCTTGAATACATCCAGGAAGGGAGCATCCAGAATTTCAATAAAGATTATCCAAAACAAGATTTCATTCCTATATATGAGCAGCCAGCAAGTAGCAGTGCAAAGCATTAGGATTTGTTAATAAGACCATCAGTTGTAAAGAACATGGGAAAGACTTTTCAAAGCAGAATTTGAAGGATTTCAAGAATAAGGACAGTGCTATGTAATTTTTATTCCTTTTCTTAATTACATATATTTTCTACTATTGCTGCTTCCTCTTTTCAACATGACCACTACATATCCTGAGCTTAACGCTAGTGGAACACCAGCAAAGACCTACACACCCACTCAGTCATCAATCTCTTCAGACCAATCTTTTTCCCCCAGATACGTCAGATATAAGTTTTTTAAAAAGTTATATACTGAACACTCTTGGGAAATAATGTTACCCAATGTGCCTTCTCCACCTCCTCAGCAAAGAGGCTTATGAATATGGGTTCGCATAATAACAAATGAAGGATAAATAAATTATTCACACTGGGAACCTGGGACCTCAGCAATAGTTTTTAAATAGATGGTTAAAATCTCCATTATCCTGGCTATCCCGTTTCACCAAATAAAGAAAAAAGCAGCAAAGAAAACACCCTACAGTAACTTTAGAAACTCTAAACAAGCTAGGAGCATCCCACCTTAGGTTACAAAAATATCTCTCAATAAGTAATTTTCTATGGAGACATTTAAGTTAAAGGCAATACTGAGCGTAGTAGTTTAGTACTTTCTTGTTCTAATTTTTGAAGGCCATGAGGTCCTAATGTTTAGTTACCAATAGTTCTATCTGATCAACCTGAACAGTGTTGTTAGATTTATGGAAAATATCAAGATGTTTGCCTGAAATGGAAAAGATATAGAACATGGACTTTGATAAGAACAGGATATTTAAATACAAGCAAATGAGGTTAACAACTCAGAAGAAAACTTAAGTGACAATTCAAAGGCAATTTCTTCTCCCGAGATGAAGATACTGACAGCTGATATTTGCAAAATCCAAACTGTACACTGAAGGACAACAATATTTAAATAGAACTGTAAATAGTCGCTATATTTTAAAAAAGTTACACTGTACATGGCAATAAAGACCTACCTTTTGGAAGGATCTTTTTGAAGGCATAAAGAAATTAATTTTCTAAAGGATTTGCCATACTTTTTCATCATCTCCTTGTCTTCTACACCAGTTTCTAAAGTGGGAGGGTCATTTTGCAGTGTCAGCATTAACACCTACAGTAAACCCAAGAAAAATTACTGTAAGTAAAACCAAATCAGAAGATGTATAAATTAAGAGAATAACTGTTCTTCAGAGTACATACATTTAGATATCTTGATTTACAATTATAACAAAGTAGCGCTAAAACATCAAAATAACATTTCTACACAATCCTCGGAACAATTAGTGGTATAACTGTTATAAATAAATACATTAAAAAAAATCAATAATGCAAACACCACTTTACAATTCTTCAAAGAAAAGAGAACGTGTGGACTCCAAAACATTGAAAAAAAACTCTGCTTGGGTGTTGCAGCATCACTGGATGTTGAATTTCTGACAGGAATGTGGACAGATAAGAGTGAAACAGAAGAGGAATAGTAAGCAAGGTTGCTGCAATCAGCATTTCTGCTGCACAAATTAAAAAATACACAACACTTGAGTGAAACACTACAAGATCTAAAGTACTTCAGTCAGAAGCTTATGACAGTTTTACGCCTGAATAACAAAATATGTTTTGAGGCTGTTCTGATATCATCATATTCTTTTTTATCAGTTATGTTAGACACTATTCTACACCGTTCTTCACCTTTTCAGAAGTAGTGCTGTGTACAGCAATTGCTATCAATTTAAGTAATTTAACATTACAGAACATGGTACATCTTCTCAATTTTGAACACCAGTAGTAGTTACCATAGCAATAAAAAACATCAGCCACAAGGTTTTTCGGTAGCTGCTTTGTTTGCTGTGTTTTTCCAGTAGGCTTCCCTGAAAGGCAACACTGTCCAAGCTCTTCTTAAAGAAGTAGCACAAAACTCATTTCAAGAAAGCCCTCAGTCACTATCTTTATCAGAACCAGTAAAAAAATACATAAATCATTAACAAAATGATCAAACTGAGATGACAAATTTCATTTTCAAAGGGTAACTTAAATTCCAAACTTCCTGGTTTGACAAAATGAACAGCAACTTTCTTCTACTTTTAAAAACACATATCAGATACCAGACTTGCAATTCCATATAATTACTGGCACACTTTTTCTGAAAACCTCTACATTGTACTATTTTTAAAAGCCAATAGGCATAAAAACAGAACGAGGAAGCGCTGCCTTTATTGTTTTGGTTTCCACTGAAGTGAATGAAATACAAAGTAAATGCTAGTAACAACGGCCCAAAGCCCAGTTTTCTAGGTCTTCTCCTTGTATATCACTGCCCTCATGCAGCTGCCTATAGATCCTTGCCACCATTTACAAAATTGGCTCATCTTTAGTCATTCCTCAGAGAAAAATTCGCAGTGACAAAAAATATTTAAACACACAGAACAACCTGAAATCCAGAACACTTCAGCATCAATATAAGGTGACATTTACTTTCATAGGAGGATATTTGTGATAAGGTGCTGCTCCTGTTGCTAACTCTATGGCTGTTATTCCAAAACTCCACATATCAGCCTTAAAGTCATAACCTCGTACCTGGAATAGAGCCAGAAAGGAAAAACAAGGTAGTGATGTCTGAAGTTCCAAAAATTAAAGACTAAGAGATTTTATTTTTGTTCTTAAACATTTGTAATACCTGTTCCATTACTTCAGGGGCCATCCAACATGGAGTACCAACAAATGTTTTCCTTACTTTGTTACGAGTCATATCACCTCCTGTAGCCAAAAATGCACTAACACCAAAATCTGGGAAATGAGAAAGAAGTTATAACCAGTTAAACTACTAGTAACAAATAAAATTTCTCATATAGTAGAAGCAATGCCAGTTCTCTTGAGATAAAAGAACCACAACTTAAAAAAAAAAAAAAAAAAAAAAAAAAATTCTTTCTCAGGAATTAGGAAAACAAAATGCACACAGGACCTACCATTCAAAATATGCTCTTAAAAGGGCATTAGTTTCGTATGCTCATTTAGCAAAGTCAATGTATCAGCTAGACAAACCAGAGGTGTTTCTCATGACAAGGTATTATTTTAGGTTGTCTCTGGACCAAAGAGATTTTTTAGTTAGTTGGACTGGTGCTGGTAATACAGCCCTACTTCATAACTTTGCAAGCATCCACTGTTCAAAGAATGCATAAACATTTTCAAGCTGGGTACTCTTAAACCTTAAAATAATACCTTTTACATTTATTTTTCAGCAGTAATTCTAGGCTGCCTGGACTATAATCTTTTTCTTTCCCAAATTATCAGCAGAGATTGAAATGTGAATAAATATTTTAGTTATATAACCATAGCAAACCTATGGAACTCTTTAACTCTGTGGAAAAGATCTCTTTTGTTTTGGTGTGGGAGGTTTGTTTATTTTATTTTATTTATTTATTTAGGCCACAGCATTACAGAAGAGCCTGTTCCAGAAGCACTGGACAGGCAACTCTGAGTCCACACTGTCACTCCTCACTGTTAATTTTTTCCAATGGCCACAATAAAGCTTGCATTCTGAATCACCCTTGTGGTCTGGATTTGGGGGCTTTATCATTACTTTCCATTAAACAACCATTAACCATGGAATTCTGGACCTCTTCTACATTATTAAAACACAAATACAATAGACAAGAGAGAAGTAAACCACAAATAACATATATATTTTTAACTTTCCCTGCAGTTTATCTGAGGAATAAGAAAAATCATTTTTCCCCCCAAAAATCTGTAAATTATAGATTGGAGGGATTTCATTTGAATTTCTGAAAAGGGTGAACAGCTTCAGAAACACCTACTTTTAGATTTCAAATGTCGTAGTATCAATGCCATTATTTGTAACTATTTTTTGAAGAACACTACTGTCTATGAAGAAAAACTGTATAAGCAGAAAGCAAAAATAAGCACATAATTGAGATAGAAAAAAAAGTCTTTTCAGTAGCAAAGATAAACACTTTGTATCAAACAATTGTTTAAAAGTCCTTCTAGGAGCCAAGATGCAGAGCTAAAATTCTGACCATCTTTGAAAAAGACACAAGCCAGAAAATAGAAGAGGGGGAGGGCACAATGAAACAAGCAAAAACAAAGCAAAATCCCTCCTTGTATAAGCTTCAAAAGGAAGTTTCGCAACACCTCACTGAGAACCATGAGATAAGCATTTCATCAATTCAAGCAAACATTTCACTACAATTCCAGTCAAGCAATGTACACTTCTGAAAAGAGAAAGAATGCTTCGATGGCTCCTCAGTAAAAACAAGACATTCATGTCTCATTCCAGACATAGCTTTCAGAAATACACACTGCTTAACAACAGACATGACTCCACAGCAGCAAGCTTTCTACCACATAGCGGACACAGTATAATTGAAGAGAAATTTCATGAAGAGGAAAGGCCAATACATCACAAGGAAAGAGCTGAATGATCTAGTGTTAGTTACTAGAAGTCACAGTAAAGAAAAAGTTTCAGAAGTCATGATTCCAGTGTATTAGCAAAGGATTCTGAACTAACGTACGCAGAGCAGAGGGGCTGGCCAAATAAGCATAGCCCAAAAGCCATTTCTCCTCTGGCTCTTTTACCAGGACTGGGCACTGGGCCAAGCTTCAGCCAAGGCCAAACCTCCTGGGCTGGGGGGGGACAAGGCCACTGCTTCCACAGCAGTGGGGCTGCAAAGGAAGGCACAGACTGCCAGAAAATGTTTGCTCTAACAAATTTCTCAACTCAAAGGAGGCTCTAGATTTTAGCTTAAGGCTAAAGCTAAGGAAAGGTCAGGCTTTTGTCCCTAAAAAATTGTCCCTGCTAATTTTTTCACCTTAAGCACCTGAGGCCTAGATTCAACTTTTTTGGGGGGTATCATTTAACACAAGAGTGAACATTAAGAACTTCTGCTGAAATGAGCAAGTTCCTACAGACAGCTATGCACAAACCCAAAGTGGGCAATCTTCTGCAAGAATCCTCAAAACACACTATTTTATTATTATGGGTTTTATTCAAACTCATTTTCTTGTATGGACTGAACACAACATGCATACTGCCCACACCTCCTACAACACTTCCACTGATCTGACTGCGATTCCTCTGTGTTATATGCTCTATATTTCATCTTATTTCTGTTCTTTTGCTGGTTTCTTAGATATTTTGATCCCTGCTAATTCAGGTTTAGAAGGCTGTAACCCTGATAAAGTACCAATCATCTTGTTTGTCCATAAGATCTTACAGTCCCAACAGATTTAATAACAGCAGTATGCTTGTAGCAAATATTTAACGTTTTATTTGTGAATAGGAAGCCTAAAATTTCCTGCTCTGTACAGAGGAATTTGGTAGTTGAAAAATAAGTATACTCAATTTTAAACAGAACAAGAAAATGCATGCGTTCGTCTTCTCCTCTAGAGACACTGAACAGAGTCTCTGTAAAGAACCCCTGAGGTCTGTAATCACAGGTCTCTGTAGAGCCATTCCTCTTATTTGAAGAACATATGGTCTACTCAATTTCTTTGAAGAAATGTATGGTCTTCAACATCTGTACAAAAACTTTCGTCAGAGAAACACTAGGCCAGGCTTTATTTGTGAATCACAGCATTTTGTTGTTCTGAGGGGCTAATGAACAACTATGTTTTCAAATGTTACTCTGTATATTAGCAGTATTTATTATAGGTAAGTCTTTTCCTCATAGAAACTTGGGGTGCAACAGAATGAGCAGTCAAAAGACAAGTTCTTCCAACAAACTAAAAAGAAGCCAGAGCATAACAGCTAGATTACAAATCAAGTATCTATTCTTCAAAGATTAAAGGGGATTGTACTTCAGCAAGGCAAAAAAGATAAACAAGGAAGAAAAGCAGCCTCTGACATTTAAACTGCCTTTCAATTAGTGTGCAATGTTCAGCTGCCCCATACAGTACAGCCCCATACCAACAATGAAACAAGTCTGATATTGCTGCACATTTCAGCTGAAATTCTGAAGTAACCTAGTAAGGAAACAACACCTGAAAGACAGACATTCCACATATCTATTTAGCTACTGAAATTCCTCAGTCCTGCATGCCCTGGCAGCACAATAAAAACTTTACGAGTTTAAGATGCCTGCAGCAAGGAGGAGGAAAAGGTCAAGAAGCCATATGCTAGAGCTGAACTACAAAAAGATAAATTAAGCTTGTGCTTGAATGTTATCTGATTACTGTGACAGCAGATTTGACTGTGTGTGGAAGTTATAATGAGAAGTCAGCAGCTTTTTCTTCAGATTGTTCATGAGATTTGCTTTGAGCTTTTATTTATTTATTTTTTTTTTTTCAGTTAAATGGGTTACCTGGACATCTACTCCTTTAGAGTACTAGAAGATCTACAAATTCTGGAGTATCGTTTGCCTAAAGCACTATAGAAAATGAAGATGACTGCAGGGTATAAACAAGTGAATAAATGTAAGTAAAATTCAAGCCTGTAGAATTGACTATTTACTTTATTGTAAAAGCCTTAAACTCCAATAGAAGAATTAAAACTGGCTCAGCTGCCAGATAATCTTTTCCCTTCTCATTTCATAAACTTCAGGTACTAAAATATTCAAGCCCTTCACAAGGTAAGCTTACACAAAACTTTGAAAGCATCCTTTATTTGAAACCAAAATTTCAGTTACAGCCATTCTTATTACTGAGGGCTACTAAACAGGAAGGTTTCACCCCTGGGTCATGAGTTATAAGCTGTTAAGGCCCGTGAGTACTCCTGGGGAGAAAAGTAAAAAAATCTCCAGTGAGAAGTCTCACATATCAGTGACTACTTCAAAGATAAGGTCCTACAAAAGTGTAATACATACAAGACTTTTCAATCCCCACCGTTAGTATTACTTCCAGAAACATTTCATGAAATAAACCTAAAAATAAGAATCGCCACTATTTGCAAGCACTTTAAGCTATATCAGTGACTCTAAAGGAAACAACAAGAGATCATTGATGTTTCCTGATGTATTTGATTGGACACAAAAAAATAATAATTTCTAATTCATATCATTAACCAAGCATTCTAAAATTGGATGACCTGCAGCTGCAGTGCTTCAAAAAAGGAATAGTTAAAAGTCAACAGAAAAACTTCTATACGTTGCCCCTACATCAGCTCCAAATACCTTTTAATTTAGCCACTACTTCTCTACCACTGCCATTACCTGCTATTTGTACAGAGCCATCTTCACCCAGCAGGATGTTGCCAGCCTTCAAATCTCTAGAATGTACAAATAAGAAGTTACCTTTACATAAAGAATACATATATTTGTTTTTATGTAAAAAGAGACAAAAAAACACCTTCAAATTTCTTAATTTCATAAGATAGCATTTGAAAATATTAAAGGCAGAAACAGGAACTAAAGTTCAAAATGTAACTTACTTTCAATAAAACAGAGCGCAGAATAAATTAATGAACTCCATCTTTATATACAACCACACATATTGGCCTTGGCATAAAATGAGCAGGATTCAGGGATGCGTTTTTAGAACAAATACTGAGGTTCAGCTCTTTTGCCTCCTTTTATAAATATAACCTCACAAACTTTCATACCTTTAGAGCAAGAACGAACACTTTCTTACATCCAAATGCCTTACTACTGGGAAAAAAAAAAAAAACAAAAACAAAACAACAACAACCCAGTTGCCTTTGATCTGTTCAGAGAAAAGATCCAACTTCGAGAAAGACAAACAGAAAATACCATTTGTGCATTTCTCTAGATTTCTATGCAATGGAATTAAGTTTTTCTATGGTGTACCATGATGAAAAGCTACTTGAAACTGAACCTGTCAGAAATGTGGTATGTTCTTAAACATCAACTACCTATCAATTTAACATATCACTCGTAGGTAACTTAGATTAAAAAAAAAAAAAAACAAAAATGGCTTTTGGGGTGGGAGGTTTAATTGCTTCGATGTTTTGGTTTGCTTTTTTTGTCCTTAATAGAAACATACATCCCATTCTTAAAGCACAGGATCTTTCATACACAAAATACCATAAACATTTAGCTTTCCAAAATTTACTGAAGGTAACATTTTGCTATTGAATATAACATAACCTGCTTCCTCATACGTAAAGGAGAACACATTGAAACAACAGAATAAAATCCATTAATTTTGGGAACGTCTCCAACTGGCAACTACTGCTTAAAAAAGGACTCCCTGACCTATCACAGCTTTCACCTCCCAAATGCAAGGGGTAAATGAAGGCGTACAATATTCTTTAGATCAGCACTTCAGTGGCGTTGCACAGTTTATAAACTAGATGCTATAAAAAGGAGAAATCTCACATGCAATAAGGAGCTTTATCTCTTTTAAGCTTCTTCAAAAAGGTACACGGGCAGTTCGCAACTATGACCTCAACAGATCCTGTTATCCCTAAAAGCTGATGGATATTCCTTCTGCAGCAACATCAGCTTAATAAAAAATTACAAATTAAGTTTTATGACAGATCTTTGGAATTCCAGAGCAGAAGTTAACTATACTTTATTTCTCCATTTATCTTAATTTTCTCTCCACAAAAGGAAGAAACTTCTTAATTTACAAAGGCAGTTCATTTATAGGATGAGACAAAAGCAGTACACCAAAAGAACTATTACTCTGCTACATCTCTACTACCACCATTTTCAGTTCTGTCTGCCGTGATTATTTTTTTTTTCTCCTCTCTTGTAAAGAGCAGTCCTAGAAACAGAGAGCCCCTTGTTGGCACTTTCATAAAAAGGCAAATTCGCTACAGCAAAATTAATCAGGGAGGTGAAAGCACAGCATTTCCTTGCAACTTCTAAACAGTGGAAACAACCTGCTGATCACTATAATATGCACATATAGAACACCCTAGGGCATCTGCACAATTTATAATGAGAAAGCCAGCAGAGTGAAAACACACAGGAAAACAATCATTTAGATATGTATACACCAAGATGTAATTTTCATATCAGTCCCAGCTTCATGTTTGGTTGGTCATAAACAGAAATCTGTGCTATTAGACAGTACTGACTATCAGGAAGAAATACATTTCACATTTACACAGATTGTTCAATTGCCTTATATAATGAATGGGTTTATTATGCAACACAATATACAACTAGAAGCCACAGATCATACCACAAACTAAAGTTAAATTAAATCTCTGGAGTACCAGCAGTTACAGGAATACAGACCACAGTTTTTGCAGACTTAGTGCAGCACAGGCCTATGTTAAATATAAAAAGGAAAGAGAATAAAGTAAAATACAAAGAATTAGCAACAAACTAACAGTCAAGATTAACAGCAGCTGCCTGAGCATTATCATTTAAGAATTACTGATTGCATTCAAGCAATAGAATTTGCTTAACCAAAAAACTGCAGCTGACCAGTACCAACAGCACCCTATACATTCAACTTTGAAAATATTTTTCACTGTGTATATGCTCCTACCTGTGAATTTGCCCATTCTTGTGCAGATAGTCTAAACCTTCCAAAACCTCCTTAAGAATTGTTGCTATTATGGGTTCTTCAAGGACGCCATTTTTGTGCTCTCCTCTGTTGACAATATACTTTATTATATCAAGCATTGAACCTACATTGCAAATCCAGGTAAGAAAGAAAATATTTCAGATTCTTGAAGACAACATATTTCTTCATTCTCCCCTTGTTATTTAAGTTTTCAGCTAACTAGTTCTTAGAATAAAGCACACCATACTTTCTTTCAAACAAACAAAAAAAAAAAAACCAGCAATGTTTTTTGCCAAAAATATGGTAATTGTTCATTAGGAAGACATACTCGATAAGTTACAGATGCAAGTCTAAAGCAAATTTAAACAGACAAGCACCAAACACGTTTTAGTTTATTATCCAACTTAAATTATAGTTCGTGAATTTATGATGTAGGATAAACAGGAAGCTGCAAGACTAGGAGATAATCTTTGAAGACCAATGTTGTCTACATTCCTACTGACGCATACTTTGACAACGAATTTCAGTTATTGCTATATCTTCTATCTATCCAGGCACTTTTCAGTACTTCAAAGTACATTCCCCTCAAAAAAATAAAAATAAAAATAAAAAAAATCACTGGTTCCTCTCAGTGCCTGCTTTTGAGTGAATAGAACAAGAGAACTGAATAATCAAAAGAAATGTGATGTAGGACTTCCCCCCATGCTTTCTAGGATAACAATAGAGATGTCTGTCGCCAACAAGACTAATTTTGAAGAACACCATGTGGCAGCTAGGAACCTCTTACTTTGGATTTCACTTTTCTAAGCCTAAAGTGCATTCAATTTAGTCCCTTTTGCTTCTTCCAGAACCATGTGAAGCTGTAATATTATTCATTAATACCACAAAAGACTGTAAAAGGTGTTCAGTTAGCTTAGGCAATAAAAATAATTCAATGTGTGTAAGGCCTGTCCTAGGAAGAATAAGGAACTAGAAATACACGTGGGTTTTTTTTTTGTTGTTTGTTTGTTTGTTTTTTTTTTTTTTTTTTTTTTTTTTTAAAGAGAGGATTTGTAACTCCAAAAAAAATGCCACATTGACAGAAGTGACTTAATTCTCACCATTACTTTTCCAAACACAGCCTTAATATACAGCTATAACAAAATGATTCAGAATAAAAAATGACAGCAATTTGATCAACTGAATTAATCCCAACAATTCATAGTATGTAAGATCAACGTACATACAGTCTTTTTAAGCTCATATATTCTTGCTATAACATTCAGCATGTCTACGTCTTAAGATCCATCCTGTTAAGACTCTCTCACCCTTCCCCCACTTAGCTTAGGTTAGTTAACTCAAAGAACACACATTAGAAAATTCATACAATTTCCTTGCAGCTAAACAAGTATAAGCAGTAACTTACCCCCACTTAGCAGCTTCATAACCAGCCAAAGCTCATCCTTCACCACAAACGATGTGTAATAGGTCACCACATTGGGGTGATTGCATTGACTCATTGCTTGAATTTCTTTCTGTAAGAAATACAAAGCCCAGCATAACACAGACAGCTATCAGTTCTGCTTGTGTGAAGTAAAAGTTTAATTTCAAAGTGAAATACTACAACAGAACTGAAGTATGCAAAGAAGATGCATTAAGGCTCTATAGATCTATATGCAGGATCAAGTATCATTGCAAAGAACAGAAGGGATGCTTGGCCAGGAGATACAGGTATAATTGCAACAATTTTCTTCTGATACCAGCTGAGAAGTTACATTTAAAGTCCTATATTTTGAATGAGCATGAAGATGAAGTTGTGAGTACAGGCTGGACAACAGAACATGAAGGTGCTCAAAACCCACTGCCTTTCCTGTTCAAAAGCAGCACAAAAGGAGGGAGGAGAGCAGGAGGGAAAGAAGGACAGAAGGATAAAATATACAGAATCACTGGCCTGGCTCTGCTTACTCTGAGATGGACAGATAGTCTACGATGCCAGGCAATCAAACAGAAATAGAATAGGAACAATTAATGTTGCAGACTGAAAGTCTAAGGAAACAATTGAGCAGAGGAGCACGCAATCACCAAGAGATGCACAATGATGTGGCACTACCAAGTAACACCATTTAGGACACAGCTATATGCATTAAAAATGACAGTCTTGTATCTTTCCTTTCGAGTAAGGCTTTTTTCTATTCAGTATTCCACGTAACTGTTCTGTTGCACCTTTCTGGCTGTTCTCGTAGTTCTGTCAACTCTTAACACAGAATCCTCACAGCATCCTTTGAACCTGAGTGTTGAGCCTCAAAGCAGCTTTAGTATCTATAGCCCTACCTCTTTCCCCCTCTCTGCCTCTGGCCATGCAGCCCTAATCCATCCCTGGCATCAGAAAATGTACTCCTGGAGGGTGAGTCAGTCCAGGAGTCAATCCAGCTAGAAATTGAACTCTTAACCTCCCTCCCTGAAAAGTAACTGCCTTCAGGTGGCTCACCAGTGCTCACTTGAGGCTACCACTAAGGCAGTCCAAACTAGGTGGATTAAAGATGCCCATAGATGCCATTTTGAACTTTTGGCCTCATTTCAGTGACTGTTTTTAAAAAGTTTTCAGGGAGTTATTTGCAATGCACTCAAGATCACAGCCCCTTGCAATAAAATGTTAATTACAGCATTAAAAATTGATTTCATCTCACATCTATTGGTGAGTATTGAGTCAGCAGCTTACATTTCAGTTAGTTACGTTGTCAAGAGCCCTCCTCCCCAGACAGCTTCTCAGACCCAAACCACAGAAGGATGAATGCCTGTATAGCCACCTAACTGAACAATTCACAACACAGCTTCTTGGTTTTTTGTTTGTTTTGAGCTGGGACACAATAGGCAGCTAAAAGAGGAGAAGAAATGTACATGGACACAATTCCCTTTCCCAGCAGATGCACCAACTTAAATGCAAGGTAAATTACTGCCTCACATTCTCAGCTCAGCTATCCATACCAATCCCAAGTATAACTCTCCCATCCCTTATTACTATTTCATTTCTTATACCAGTTTATTGCATTACCAGCACAAGAAAGCAATTGTTCACAAAGTCTGCCTGCTGCTAATGGAAAGCGCTTTCAGTGTTTTAGCTGCATACAAGAAATGGAGGCAGAAAGTGAACTATCACAGTAACCATGGCCAAAGGTATTTTGTATCTCAGCTTTTCCCGAATGAGTATTCGGGAAACAAAGTAGAAAGCAGATGGGGGAAAAAGGGATTAAGTTTTGGTGGGAAGTAGTAATCTGTTGAGAATGGTCGGTTGGTTAGGATGTTTGGACTTGATCATCTCAAAGGTCTTTTCCAAACTAGTTAGTTTCATGATTCTAATTTCTAACACTCAATTCTCTGCAGCCTCTATCAGTTCAGAAAAGTAAGAAAATAGCACTCCATAAAGGTGTTATTTGGCTGAGACCCATGTTATGCACCAGTGAAAGAGAAACATTTACTTAAAATATGCATCCTATGGAACAGTTTGTAGCAGGATGTCCAGGTGAATGCCCAGAAGGCAGTCTTCACATCCCATAGCTTTAGACATTTGACTGTATCGAAGCTAGAGGAGCATTTAAACTTTCAAGTATTTCTCATCCCTCTGCTTCTGTGCTTCTTTCTCCTTTTATCTTTAAGTTCTTTTCCAACCTGAGCAATTCTATGATTTGTGCTAGCATAAGCATTTGGGAACTGCATAAGGAGCCATGCCTGGGTTAACAGCTAACTTCTTTTCAGCCAGATTATCTCTGGTCCTGTTTCACTGATCAGCTGCACAAAAATGTATCTGCCTAAGGGCAGCTGAGCGACACAGCAATAAGCAACCATGAGACATCTACTTTGGTGCTAAGCTATAGCATTCATGGGACCAGCCTCCAGCTCCAAGTGGCCAGGCAGGTGACACAGTTCTATAGGTGTTCCTGAAGGACACAGACATCTGGGATATAGCCACTCAGATTAGTCATGATGTGTTATGGGCTCCTCCAAGAACAATCCAGACAGAACTCAAATTCCTTGGTGAAAGATGGAGATCTGGAAATAGCTGTGTAAGGGTATTTAGATAAAGACTTCACTTTACTGTTATTGACCAGCTCCATGAGTGCCATACTTATCTGACAGTACTCCACTGTAACAACTAAGCCTTATAATGGATATAAGAGCTCCCCTTCCTAACAACACATAACACTCAGACACTCTCTTAAAGGCAGTCCACACAACACATAGCAGGCTTACTACTGTAATGAACATACAGACATTTCAAAACAGCATTCCATTCACACTGTCCTGAGCACCTCAGAGAGAGCACAGACAGTAAGCCATTCTGTGGATGTGTCTCTTTTTCTCTTGCTGTTTTTTGTTGTTAATGTTTTTAAAAGAGGAGATATGGGGATGGGAGAAGATATCCTTGTCAGAACAGTACTAAGGACAGGAACTTCTTCCTTGGCTTCTGGGGTTAAGTTACATTTAGCTTACAATAGTGAGAACACAAAATATTATAGAAAACAGAGTACTGAATTTCAAGAGTTTGGCTGTAACTTAAGTATTATTTAAATCCCTCCCCCACTGCTTTTTCTATTTTAACTGACAATGGCCCAAAACTTAAGTCTGCTTATGTGGACATCAGGCTTGCTGCATTTTCCCATGGCTCTGAAGGCCTCAGAGCTGAGAACATGAAGGATGTCTTTGCACACCATCCAGAAGTACTCAACGGCAGAATTACACTTAACAGCATGTTCAGAGAGCACTTTTGAAGTATCCCAATACTAACAAAAACTGATTAGAAAAACAAGTAATTGAGAACTGAGCAGAATCAAAAGTGTTAAAAAAAAAAAAACAAAACCTCAAGAGCATTTTAACCAGCTGGAACAAAAATTAGCAGGGCTATAACAGTTTTGAAAGCAAGTGATTCCCTTTTCCAGAATAACATCATTTGTAAAGAAAATTTAAGTCTCTATTAGAAATGAGTCTGAATAAGAACTCTTTCACTGAAAAAAAGTTTCCTATGCATGCATGCAAGAATACATGAAAATTACAAGAAAATCATATATGGCCTTTTTTTCCATTTGCTAAATGGAAACTGAGAAAGCCAGAATTCATATTTAGCTAAAAAAAAAAAAAAAAATAAAAAAAAATAAAAAAAAATCACACAAAAAAAGAAAACACAGAAAAGCATAAAGAAAGAAAAGCTACCACGGACAGTTGTCTTCGTACCAAAAGATAACAGTATGGGGCCAGAAATTCACCAGACAGTAGAGATAACTCAGCAGTGAGAATACCCAAGTACTTGTTAAGGTAATCATTTACAATCTCGTAACTAACTGCCATCATCACTACACAATCCAGATATCTTTCAGAGTTTCTGCAGTTTTGGCATTTTATTTGTTTTGTTTTTAAATCTGTTGCAACTTTAGTTCCCATTATTCAAACTCTGACCAAATAGACCCATGTTTGACCATACCACATTAATTAATAGTTGTGCTTTTACAGAATGTTCCTTATGGGCTGTAGTAATTTATAAATCACGGCACAGCACGTCACTTTGGACAGAATTTATCTTTGAGTTTTCATCTGAGAGAAATCTCACTACTTCAGAGGTAGTTTCCACTACCACAATCTTCTTAAAAAATAAAAATAAAAAACAACGCCCCATACAAGCTGTTACATAAACTGAAGGCAAATGCCATCAATCACCGGGGAAGAGCATTTTGGGTCCTCTACTGTAAACAAGCCATTTTTTCTGAAGAAACTGGATGGACCATACCCTCTGTATCAAATTCAAGATATCTTTTGCACTGGCAATTCCCTGCTGAGGAGATCATTTCCTTCAGAGGCAGGAATTTCTGCATTAGAAAAAGCCCACAGTCTCTAGGCAGAAGTATAACCTGTGGAACAGAAGAGAGTATTCTCACTTTTAGAATGGCTTTTGGTTCTTTGATTCTTGCTATGCTGCCTATATATAAATAAGCAACAGTCTTGTAAGCACCTGACTAGGAGCAATAAAAGTACCAGTGGTTTGGAGTTCTTGTTTGTTTTGGACTTTTTGTTGTGCTTTAAAAAGAGTTTTGTGATTTTGTCTGGATTGCCATGCAGTGCAGAGGAAGCAATCTTGTAGTCCTTTACAGGTGTCTCCCTCCTCTGATCAGTAACCCAAACAAACAACATTCCTTAAATGGTTTGCAACAGCCTACTGGATAAATGTACATTATTAGCTGTAACAAGAGTTTCCTTGTGTAGGTGGCAATGTAGCCATTCTTAGTTTCCCCTACAAAATGTATTATAAAATACTCAATTTTCCCCCCCATCCCCCATTTATGGTGCTTTAAACATTAAGGAGACCTACTAAATTTTGCCTTGATTTTTAATCAGTGTTTAACCAATGGAAAACATTTTTTCTCACTGTTGAGAAGTGAGGGACATCAAGACAGTAATCTCCTGAAAACCAAACATCCAGAAAGCAAAGGAAAAGATTCTTCCTGCATTTCTCAACAGTTGATTATCCCAAAGGGATTCAAATTTGTACTTGCTTCTGCAGCATTAAAGAAATACACATTAATATAATCCATTTTAGGAGAAAGACACACATTCTAGGTTACTTTCCAGTTCTTTTCTGTTACCCTGCATAAAATATTTGCCCTCACTTTTAGACCAAGCAAATACTGAAATGGAGAAGAAAAAAAAAAAAAAAAAAAAAAAAAAAAAAAAAAAAAAAAAAAAAAAACCAAACAAAACCCGAACACCACCTCCCTGGGAATGAGTTTCCCTTCGATTTACTTACAAGTAACTCATCCATACTGGTTTGGCATTTTTCTAAGTTGATCCTCTTTATTGCTACACGCTCTTGCCGGGGTTTGCATAGCGCTGCCTGTACAACTGCTGTAGCACCACTACCTGAAAAAGGATAGAAAAGAAGAGAGACTTAGCAAAATAGTAGTTTAAACCAGTGCCCATCATAAGAATCTAGCAGTAAAAAATTAAAATCCTTGGTCAATCTTTTACAGTACTTCCTCACACGCACATTTTTCTTCTGGGAAGTCAGTTTAAACACTTCTCAAATAGAGAATTTTTCTTCTGTACCTCAAAGCTTCTGTTCCACACTCCACAAACAAATTCCAAGATGACAACTTAAAATGCTGCACTTACTTACAAGTCACACCCACTTCCTACATGCATTTCATATAGTTTGGGAGCCATCTAACCTTTAGACACATCAAGAACATCAATGAAGAACATAACTTTCAGAGTTAACATGATTTTAGTGTTAAACAGAGATTCTGGGCTTCATCAAATGCTGTGAACTTTGTTGTTTCAAGTCATCCCTGATTAGCAGGTTTTTGTTACCACTATGCAATGGAAAGAAAAAAATATCATTGTAGTTCAACATGCCAAACCTTCCATAGTTTTGTGTGTTCCTGCTCATCAATCATGATAAGCTTAAATCGTACAAAAAGCATGCTGAGTCTTGCAAAGAGCACGAGAGGCACAAACGTCACACTAACAGTAAGAAGGTACGCGTTACATCTGTATTACATGGTCACACAATACACAAATAACGCTTGACAGAACTGAACAAAAATACTAGGAAAAACATTAAATAATCATTATTTTTAAAAAGCATGATTCATGAACAGCAATAATAAGAAGTCTTGTTGCTTCTTTCATTAAGCACCCATTAACTTAGCTCCGGTCAGTACCACCTCACTAAATTAATCAGATGATTGCAACTAGTATTTCAAGAGTTGTGCCCTGTTCACACACCTTACTGCCACATCAAGTAGAGCCGTGTGTGCTTCCTCAAAGTAATTACATCATGCTCAACCATGCAGAAATCTAAAATCCTCTGATGAGTGGTTTCTACCTGTAAATCTATTTTAATATCAATTATGGATTCCTGGTACCTCACTGAGTTGGAGCCACGTGCTATATTAGCCTGTTCAGACATTATGTTCTATTTATCCTCAGTAATTGGCATGTCCTAGAGGAATAGAAATTGCGAACAAAAAGCCTTTTGTTGTCAAGACCTACCAACATGGATACAGTTACCAGTTAACTTAAAACAATTGGAAGCTTTTCCCTCTGCAGCAGCAATACCTCACGACTGAGAGTTATTGACATGTTTTAATTGCTTAATCGCTCTTTGTTTAGATATTTCTATATATTGTTCATTTGCATGTTTGGTGTTTTGGTTCCTTCCACTCCCTCAGTCTAAGCAAAGCTATAACTCAGCATACAAGCTTTAATACAAAGTGCTCATCTCATCTCAAAGTCTCCACAGGATTTGCTAGTCGTTCTTTTACAGGACTTTCCTTGGTGCATCTTTTCTCTCTAAGCCAAGTACCATTTGCTACAAGTAGCAAAAGATCTTCACTTTCAAAATGGTTATATACAATTATCACATAAAAGACAAGCAGAAAAAGAGCAAAGAAAAGTTGTTGATCCACATCAGAATGAAATCCTTCCTGCTTCCTCAAGTTAAAATAGAAATAATACAATAAAATAGCCCTGGCTCCAGTGTTTTCAACAAGAAACGAGGAGGATATCCACCAACAATCGGTGGGATGTGCATATGGCACAGAGCCTTGTTCTGATCCTCCTGTGCACACAAGGTAGCCTTGCTGAGGAAGCGGTAGCTATGTCTCAGAGTGCCCTTGAGACAGGGATGAGCCTGTCTCATCACTGTCTCTGCAGCCCTGCACAGCCCAGTGCTCCACCAGCAGCAGAACCACAGGATGCTCATGCTGCAAAAGGGCAGCTCCACAGCCCCACCAGCCCTCGCTGCCTCCCATCAAGGGCCTCCTGCCTCTGGCCTAGACTGCTCTGCCAGTCCTGCGCGGCTCAGCACTGAGGAGCTTCCCGGAGTACTTTGTGGGGGACCCAGGCACTTCACCACAGCCACTGTGTCTTCAGAGGAAGAACCACCAGAGGAGCCAGGGCAAATGACAGCAGCATACCCCTCTGTCCAGGGCAGCACCCCCAAAAGAGGAGGGCCAGCAGCAGCACCCTGGACTTACCTCCACCATGCAAGATGTGGCAACAGAACCAGCACTACCTGGCACTCGTAGTCAGAGCATGGTTCAGGGAGCTGCAAGACCAACATCAATCTCTCAGTCTGTTTCTGAGAGAAAATAAAAACAACAAGAAAAAAGAAGTCCCTGATATTGACAAGGCAGTTGAGGTTGCTGCCCCTACCCATGCTGTTTCTACCTTTCCTGGTTTTGGTGAAAGCCATGGAATCATGCATTTACCTCCACAATCACTAACCAGCCAGTCATGATGACAGTGCTAATAAAATGAGCACAGGCTGCAATAAATAAAAGATAGACCTCATGTTCTAATAATAATAATCCAATTATCAGGATCCTCTCATTCTGCTAGCTTCTTCAAGCTGCAAATAGCTAACTTACCTGCAGAAAAATAGTGATCTTTGTTCTTGTTGTGTTTGTTGCTGTTGTTTTAAGAAAATGATGAATTGAGATTCACAGAGGACATAAAGCTAATTTGATTTGTTTCTTTCTGAAGATTTATCCCTTTCTATTTGCTGGCTAAGTAGTAGCTGACCAGCAGGATGATGGCAGGTAAGGAATGCCACATGTTACACTATGGAGGAATGATCAGTTGGACCAAATGACAGGGAAATTGAAAGCAGAACATCTATTGGAGGAACTACTCTCAAGCAGGACTGTTCAGCACTTCCTGAATCACAGCATGCATGAGAAAGCCAAAAGCGACTTCCAGTGGGGACAGCAACACTCTTGGTGCCCGTAGGATTTCATCAAGTCCCACTGCACCTATTGGCTGGTCAGAAGGAACTACCCTCAGGTGGTTTCCCCAGTCACTTCAGAGGAAAAACAGATGAATAGAGAGAAGTGGCATTTACAGCAATTCATAAAGCTGTAGAGTCTGACCTCAGCATATTCAGAACCATAGCCATCAAGAGTCCAGGTGCAAGCCATTGTTATTGTATCTGCCTCAGTTTTTTTTTGTTGTGTGTTGCTTCAGCCTCTCTAGCCAAGAGAAGTACTACCATCCAGGGACTCAGTACTGACCTCCTGTGCCACCATCCAATTTGTGCATCTCTCATATGCAGCCAAAACATTAAAAATAATTAAATTTTCCACATTGAGCAGCTGTGTCATAACTCAAACTCACACCTCAACACCCAAAAACATAAAAAAAATTTTTGCCACTTCCCACCACCATCCAAAAAGCTCCTTCCTTAGAAAGCAATATCTCCATTTACACCAGGATGATAAATAGAACGTTTTCCTTTGAAGGATGAGCCCTTTGTGCATCCCAATATGATTTTTTTTTTTTTTTTTTTAAACTCCTGTCAGCACCATAAAGGCCTGTTCTAACACTTTCAGAAGAGAAACCTTCAGCAATGACTTCATCCTTCCTGTTCTTTCAGGAATACTGAAAATACTATTCAATATCCATACAAATCCAGACATTTCAAAAGAAAAAAAGAAAAATCACACTGGAAATGCTTCTGAAAAGCTGCATAAGAAAACTGACTCTCATTGCAGGACCACAATCCCCTTATCAGGTTGTCATTTGAACTCTACTTTATGCAGCAAAATAAAATGAAGATTTGCTATTGCAAATCATATTTTCTGCCCAGAAAAAAAATAGCTGCTAAGAGAGAATTATTACTCATTTCTGAAGTAGCACTATAAACAAATGCTGGTGTTGATTTAGTCGGTTAGCACATTTTATTGTTTCTCATTTGGACTGGAAGTAAAAATTTGGAACAACTCTAATAGAACAGGGACACGAACGCACTATTTTCCTAGTTTTCCGGATGTCACCACATAGTACATCGCTCTCTTCTGAGAACGAAGCAATCTACCAACACAAAGACAGTATTGCTACTGCAGTCATGAAGATCTCCAGTTAATACCACACTGCTGAGCTACAAAGCATCTTCAGCAAGTTCACAACAGAACACGCTTTGTTATGGATGCATGCTGAAAGCAAAACTTACCTATTTCTGATACCACTTCTCATGAAAAAATAGAAATGGCAAAGCAATGTAAATGCTGCCATAATACTAGTGACATTATTTGTCTTATTATTAGACTGAAGTAGCTCAAAAAAATGGAAGAAAACCATGCTAAAGGAATAAGCAAGTTTAAGTCCTGTCTACATAATAAAATGTCAACAAAACATAGAAGTGAAGAGGGAAAAGTTTATAAATCAGTTATAAATCAGTTGTGATCCTTCTCAACCAAAATATGATCTCAGAAGTCTAAAGATACAGCCCAAGCTGATGATCTTGTTAATTACACTTCTTTAGGACAGAAACTACAATCAGAAAGAAAACAATATTTTTCTGGTCTGCTAAATTAATTATTTTTGTAGCACTATAATTAAACAGGTATACTTGGTGCACAGTTTGCTTACAGCTATAATCAATTACATATCAATTGTTTCTGTTAAGTAAGCCCTCAGACATTCAACATTAAGATCCATGATCTTTAAGATCTTAAGTTCACACAATATCTGAAAGCAAGATCAGGAACACTGAAAACATTCCAATTCCAATGGTACATTACCATAGCTCAGCTTAATGATTATGTTGTGAAGTTTTTATTATACCAGCCTTCTAGGACATCCTGAATTTTCACCTGTAATTTACTTCTGAACAGAATAAGTCCAAGGCACATACATATTCACGGGAATAATTAGACAAATGAAACAACTCAGAAATCATTAATTGTAAAGAAAGGATTAATGGAGACAGCTAGTTTATCATACTGAAGTTTCCACCAAGTCATTGACTAAAGTCATACGCTTAGTCAAATACTTAGGGTCAAAGGATTAGCAATATTAACTGTATCAACGTCACAAGCTTAATACATCAATTAACAAATGAACAATGCTGACTGTTG